ATCCTTCTCAAGTGGCTCCCTTACTGGAGGGCTCCATCTATTAGTGGGGAGCAGCACTTGCTGGAAATGGGGTCCAGTGTCCCAACAATGATAATGTACAGAATGGAATTGAAACTGAGATTGTTGCTTGAGCTTTTATCTCTACGATGTCTCCCAGGACCAAGGTCCTGTCTTTGGGATTTTTTTTTTTTTTTTTTTTAATTTTATGAAACCGATATCTTTGGGAGTTTGTTTACAGACTGTGCCTATTTATTTCCCCTTCCGCCCTGCTAAGTCAAGGTAGCAGAGGCAGAGGGGGCAGTGTCCATTGGTACTAAATGTTGGTTTTCTGAATAGAAGTGTAGTCGCTGAGGGGGGATGCATTCATTCATTTGTTTAATAATTTATTTACGGATTTATTTATGTAATAAGTCGCTGAGTGAAACGGTTTTCACCTGTTAGCGGTAGCGAATGCAGATCCTCACCTGTTAGCGGTAGCGAATGCAGATCCCAGGGCTCGATCCCTAGGTCTGATCTTACCTGTGTACAGTATCGAGCTGACCCCTGAGTGTTTGAACCCGTGACCTGTGTTTTGTTAGTTGTTGTTCGTCTGTCGTAGGACTGTGCAGATGTAGGGGGGATTCGATCTGTAGGTCTGTCGAGTAGGGGTCACAGCTCTGTGGAGGTTGTAGCTATAGGTCTACTGAAAGGTCAAGGTGGTAGCTGCTACAGCCCTGAAAGGTCAAGGTCATAGCTGCTACAGTACCCGAAAGGCCAAGTCCACAGACTTCCGGAAGGTCCCGGAAGTGGCCTTTCGGAGTGGGCTCACGTTTAGGCAGAGGCAAGTGGTGGAGCCAACCTCAGTACGTTGGCAGTGCAACTGCAGTGAGTCTGCGGTGCAAACCCATGCGGTCAGCGGTACCGGTCCCGTCAGTCCCAATCCAGTCCAAGTACCATGAGGGACTGTGTGCACCATGGGCCCGGTGGAAAAGGGCAGACCAGCGAGTTGCAGAAGTATAAATCAAGAGGCAGCGTCCAGCCATTCATTCAGTCCGGCGTAAGCCATGCGGAAGCGCTGCCATAGCGACTTGTGCGAGGTGGTCTGCGGTGAGCCCGAGGATGAAGAGGGTGAGAAGGAGCTTAGCTATAGCATAGTGGTAGATGCGGCCATAGCCGCCATAGCTGTAGATGTAGTGCAGAGTGTGGTGTGTGCGGGTATGCTGAGTGATGCGTGTGGGGTATCCAGCGTGATCCAGAGTTGGGTGTGTGTGAACGGGAGTTGAGCGCAGTGACGAAGAGAGATTTGTATAGGCGCTGATGCGCCATAGCCATCCGGAGTGAGATTGTATCTGAACTGAGTTTCTTGATTACCATATCTCTGAGTTTTGAGTGGGCGCTTGTCGCCAGTTTGCTGCGCAACCTGTTTGCATGTATGTGAGGTGTGAATGAAAGCGAGTCGGATTACACTGAGGAGGAGGATATGGCTATTTGGTCTTTCTTGGGGTGTTGGGTAGTTGGGTAGGGACTGTGAGCATACTCACAGTTCTAGGACTTAATATATCTGAGTGCAATAAAGGCCAGACATGGATGAATGTGACTGCAATCACGTCCAGAGCTTAGTAGAAAAAAGTGCTAGTGTGATTATGCGCTGTGAATATTGGATTTTTTTTTTTTTTTTTTAATTTTTTTTTTTTTTGTTAATGACTGGTGGCTTTGGTTTTCAGTTGTTGGTATTGGAGAAGGGCTCCTCCTGTGAGGGACGCCGGGCCCGTAAAAAAAAAACACGAAGGGCTCTGAGCCTGATTAAAAAAAAAGAAAAAAAAAAGAAGGGGTCAGCCTGAGGGTTGAAGGCTGCAGGACTTGCCTTGGGAAAATTTGTCTGGCGCCCCTGTAATTTCCATTATGTTGTGCTGTGCCCCTCCGACGGCCCACTTACCCTGTCGTGCCCCTCTGACCACGATTCAAATTTCCCATAAAATCCCGGTGTCGGTTGGGCCTGAGATATTTTTGTTATGCCCCTACCGGTACCCATTCCAAATTCACAGTATGCGCCTACCGGATA